GGCAGGGAGAGAGATGTGATTCCTAAAAGTAAAACTCATTTCCCCACGCTCCGGAGAGAGTTGCCTTCCACAGCTCCCCCCATCCCCTCCACTGGGAAGATGCCTTTGCAATTAGTCTTCTGGCTCCAAGAGCAGGGTGGAATAAGAGCACCAGTGTTTAATCTTTAACGCAAAGCTGCGGGTGGGAAGGAAAAAGAAAGCACCAAATCCCCCCACCCGCCTGCCAGTCAATAATGGGTTTGGGCGGTGGGGGCAAAGCCACCACAGGCAGGTTTCTGTTCCAAAGGGACCCGTCACCTGCTCAAACTGTACCCAAGATTCGGAAAGGGTGCTGGGGGAGAAGGGACCTGGGAGTTGGCTCCCAGCCCATGTGGGTGTCATTGTACAAATTCTAAAGTTGGTCCCCTAGGATCAGCTGCGGGGGATCGGGAATCTGTAACAGCAACCACCCCACGGAGAGCGGATTACAGGAACCAAGTTGAGAGCCGGTTCCCAACAATGAGGTTCATTTAAAAAGTCCTGTGGGGGGAGGGGGAGGGGGCAAGAGAAAGAGAAATAGATCAAAGAGCGAGAGAGCTGGGAAGAGAAGGAAGAAGTGCGGGGAGAACTCAGGCAGCCGCCAGGGCAACTGGAGTTTGGGTTTGGGAACGCGCCGGGAGGGAAAGAAGCTGAGATTCCAAATTTTTGATGTTTCTCTTCAGCTCCTCGGCGTCCCTGCACCCCAACCCCGCAGCCCTGGGGCCCTGGCAGCGGCGCCGACTGGAGAAGCAAGCTGGGAAGAGAGAGCAACATGACCCAACGTGTTTGAAAGGCAAAAATACTTTAGCAATTAAAAGTAGCCTAGCAGCTTCCCTATTTCTTTAGGAAGAAAACTGAGGAGAGGTAGCGAAGAAAAAAACTAACACCCATAGGCTTGCTTCCCTATGTACACTTAAACCGCCCCCCTTGACCATTCCGAGCTTAAAACTTGCTTCTTCTCACTCTGGCTGGCAAGCTACACCGCTTAAGGACGCCCCCATTAAATCCTTCCTCGCGAAGATCCCTGAATTCAGACCAGCATTTGTTATCGTGTCCCCCTCACCCTCCATGTCTACGAGCCGCAATCCCCCAGAAAACAAGCAGATGGGTCTACCGAAGTCCTACTTTCACCCCCAAAGTTTGCAGTACGACCGCCTATCCCAAGAGGAAAAGCCTGGCCGAGCTGGGGCCAACTGAAGCCCCGCTGCAATTTTGCAACATCCTTTTGAATGACAACTCTAGGCCTTTTCTTCGCGGATTCCAGCCCCTTCAAATCAGAAGAGAGAAAATCTCCCAGCAAAACGCCCGGAGACTCACTTCACCAAGGGAGCCTCTTCCCAACCCCACCCGCCCGCAATGCGTCCAACGAGACTCGAACCCTCGGACGGCGGCGATGCCCAGAGCACACACCGGGAAACCGAGCGCACCAGCGAAACTGGGCTCAGGCAGCACGTGACCACCCCCCAGTGCCCCAATCCAAGCCAGCGCCTGGCGCCCCTCGGGGAGCCCCGCCACGCAAACTTCACTTCACCCCCGAACACTCTGGTCTCCGGGCTGCATTCCCATGCAGTCCGCGCGCAGGGGCTGTTTCAACTCAAACGGTGGGTCGGAGAGGACCAAATTCCTTCAAACTGGGGAGGAGGGGAGGACGGGGCGGAAATTGAAAAGCTGCCTAAGCTCTCTCCCTTTCCCCTCTGCTTTCCCAGGCATAAACTTCTGGGGGTTCTCTTTTTCAGGCAAAAGGGAAAAGGGAAAATCTTTGAAAAGCAAATGCTCCGCCCCAACTTACCTTGCATAAAACTTCGCTCAAGTCGAAGATGGTGGCAGACACGAGGGTGGTGGTCATCGTGGGCGCTCGCACGGGGCAGGGACGAGGATCTGGTGTGCCGCGAAGGTCCCGGTGCGGGGAAGGCGCAGCCTCCGGCTCTCCGGTCAGGAGTCCCACACGCCTGCTCCCGGGGCCCCTCGCCTTTCTGACTCTCTCCGGCTGCGGCGCGCGAAGACCGATTTATAGTAGATCAGGAGAGGAGGAGTTTAAACTTATTTAAATAAGGAAGAGGAGGAAAAAAAGTTGATTGACACTGAAGTTGAATCAGCCATGCGGTCAAACTCGGGGGAAAAAAAAACTTTCAAAAAGAAGAAGGGGGAGGGGAGACGTGAAAAGTAGGCGAGGGAGAAGAAAAAAAAAAAAAAAAAACACCTCCCAGCCGCGCTCAACTTTTTTTTTTTCTTAAAGAGGAAAAGTTTGGAGTCCGCTCGCTTCGCTAGCCGGCGCCCTTCTCCCCGGCCGCGCTCCCCTCCTTTGTCAGCCGGCGATCTGGGTTCTGTGACATCACTCATTCCACCCTCTTCGGGGTTCTTGTTGTCGTGTTGTTGTTGTTTGTCGGGCAGGAAGGCGGGCTCAACTTTCTCTTTTCGCGAGCGGGAGCCGGAGCCTGCCCCGAGCCCCGCTGCCGTTTCCATCTTGAGCGGATCTTTCTCCAAACTTCTCCAAGCGCCCCGCACGACTTGCTCTTTCCGAGTGGTCGTCGGCGCTCGGCTCCCCTCCGCAAACCTGGCCGGGCGAGGAGATTGAAATTGGGAAGTTTGGGACGTACAAAGCCTTCAACTCTAGGGTTCCACGTTTGGTTTTTTGGTGGTTGGGTTTTTTTTTCTTTCTTTCTTTCTTTTTTTTTTTTTCAGCTGGCGGGAATGGGGCGGGGAGGGTGGGAAGGCCCGGGTAGCGAAAACGACCACCGCCCGGGCGGATGGTTTATTTTAGCAGGATTGGGAGTTGTATTTATTTCGCGCTCCTAATCTTTAAACTCCTTTATAAAGTAAACCTAAATCTTCGTGAACGCCCTCTCCTCCCCCCCCCGCACGCAAAACCCACCCAGTAACACAACTTTCCACGCGCGCTCTGAACCGGGGCTGCGCCGAAACAGACGCACGCACTCACGCCTAGACGCTTAAACAATGAAAAAAGTTACTTTGACAAGAATGAAGGTAAAGAGGTGGGGGAGGCCGACACTTAACTTATTGTTGTTCCTCCCCCGCCCCCTCCGGAACGGAACATATGGCTTGTCACGCTGCGCTGTTTGGGCGGGATGGGGGGGGGGGGGAAGGGGGCATGGGATCCTCGAAACCAAAAGGCCTCGGATAGAATGTTACTCCTTCCAACACTGTAAAATTGTATTTATTTACTGCTATATTCGGATGCCCCTCCACTCACCCAAATAAAAAGTTGCTAACGTGTTCCCCACCCGCCCCCGCGCGTTCTCGGGTGTGCTGAGACGAGGGCCGCGGCGGAAACCGCAGGGCTGCGTTTTTCCTATTCCCCCGCGCGCCCGGCCGCCTGCACAGCCCTCGCACGTTTCTTCCCAGCACTGGAGGCCGCCGGGTCTGTTATGAAACCCCGAACGCTGAGTGGCTAAGAGCGGGTTCCATTGCGATGTAATTAGGTCACCCCATTATGAGCACGTTTCTTTGGAAAAGACTGGGCGGGCCAAGCAGAGCGCCGCAGTCGCACTCTCACCATGACTAGCGCCACACACACACACACACACACGGACACGCGCGCACACTCACATTTTACTGCATTTCTTATTTATTCGTCAGCCTCCGGGCAAACCCAGGCAAAACTTTCAATCACAACTGTTCTAGGAACGGCTGTTTTTCATCTCTGCGAAACACACAGCTTTTGCTGCAGCGACACCACACCGACGTGATCCCCAGCCCGGCCTGCTTTCATTTGTCCGCCCTCTTTGACTGAAATGGATCGCCCCGTTTTTAACCCGGCCGCTGCCCCCTGCCTTTTCTGCTGCTGCTGTCCGGCCGCCTGTTGCTTCCCTCCCTTTGCTCCCATTTTGCAGCTTTTCACGAAATCTGGCAAGCGCCAGAGAGGGAAATAACTTCCATCCACCTTAATTTAAATCAATCAAATGTAGGTTTCTTTCTTACAGGGATGTTTGCTCGCCCCTTTCCCCAGCTCCAAGAAGGGGGGTGGGAGGCGGCTTCGCGCAGTTTCTTGGTGATGAGGTAATGAGTTCCAGATTTCAGCGCAGAGTAGGGCGCGCGTTAAAACCACAAGGTTAGTCTGCGTCCTAATGTGAAGCTATTTCGGTTTCTCATTCCCCAGCCACCGCCCCCCTGGGCCCATTGCTCTAACTCTGGAGAGTTCAAGAAGCTGTGCTGGGGGGAGGGGAGAGGTGGAGAAGCCGCGGGTAAGGGGGCCCGAGGCGGGCGGGATCTTCTTCCCCGCCCGGGGCCCGGCCCGCACCCACGGCTCCCCCTCTCCGGGGGGCGGCGCTTTCCCCCGCGGCTGCGGGACCGGCCCGAGCACCACCAGCGGCCTCGGCGTCCCGCGCTCGTTAAAAAGCCTCCCCCCCCACACACACACACCCTCCCTCCAAAGAGAACCCGATTCCTCGAATTTCCTCCGCTTTTCCAACTCCCAGAAGGCGCTCCCCTCCCCCGCTCCCGGGGACGCGGGCTCCGCGGGGCGGCGGCCGGCCTGGCCCGCTCGCCCCGGACTTGTTTACCGGCCCCGCGGCCCGACCGAGTTTGTTCCAGCTCTCAGAGCCGGCCTCTATAATTAAACCCTTTTTTTAATTGTCGGGTTCAAACGTCATTTCGGGGACTTTCCAAGAGTGAGGGAGCCGAGGGGAGGGAGCCAGCCTCCTTAACCCTTCGCTGACCCGGCGTCCACGCCGCGGCGGGCGGGGACAGCGTCCAGCAGGGCCCGGCGGGGGGCGGGGGGGCGGGGGGGGCCGGGGGCGTCCGGGCCTGGGCCAGCCGGTCCCGCTGAGCCGTGCTCCGCAGGTGCCCGGCGGTGGCGGGAACCGCACAGCGAGCCGCGACCCGGGCAGGAAGCCCGACGGGAGGCCTGCGTGGCCCTCCCCGCCCCCGGCGCTGGGCAGCCCGCCCCCCGGGCCCGTCCCCGCGCCGCGCGCACCCGGGCCGCCCCTTCACCTGCAGCGCCGCTTCCGACTGCGGAGGGGGCGGCGGGCCCGGTCCTCCCGCCGCGGCGCGGCTTCCGGGCCCTCGCTGCTCGCCCGGAGCGGGTCTGCGCGCAGAGGGGGCCCGGCCCGGTACTTCTGGCTTCGGGGTGTTAGGTTCTGTGAAAGGGGGAAAGTGAAAGCCCTCGGAGTTAGGGAAACGCGACGGATCTATTCACTGACCAGTCCGGACCCCGGGCGCACCTCGAGGCAGGTGAGAGTGGGGGGCGCCGGGCCGCCGACCCCCGGGGCCGCTGCACCCCGGACCGCCAGGCCTGGTCGCCCGGCGCCTTCCAGGCGCTCCCTCCCCAGGGTCCCAAGCTGGCCCAGGCTGCAGCTCGGGATCCGCCATCGCAGATCCCTGCGGTGTTCCACTTCCTCCCCGGCTTCGGGTCATTCGCAAAAATCCCCCAAATCCTTCGGACTGGGCTCCGCCACCCCCCACCCACCCTCTGCTACCTGAAACCCTGGGACAGCCGGGAAATCCCTGGATTAGAAGGTGGGGGGCGGGGGGCAAGCGCTGCCAGAGAGGTGTCTGGTTTAGATTTAATTACGGAATGCAGATTCCTCGGGTTGCACCCAGGCCTCGTGAATCAGACTTTTGGGGCGGGGCCAGGAATCTGCATTTTAGTAACTTTTCTGCTAGTGACCCAAACACTAAGTTTTAAGATTCTGTGTGTCAAAGCCCTGGCCTGGCTGGTGTAGCTCAGCGGATTGAACACTGACCTGCAAAACGAAGGGGTGCTGGATCGATCCCCAGTCAGGGCACATGCCTGGGGTCACAAGGGGCAGCCACACACTGATGTTTCTCTCCCTCTCTTTCTCCCTCCTTTCCCCCTCTCTAAAAATGAATAAATAAAAATCTCGGCCATTCTGAATCCAAACCTTGGCTTTGTGACTTTTTCAAGACACTAACCAAAGCCTCAGTTTCCTCATCTCTAAAACAGGGATGACGATAGGCTAAAATTGGCCAGTCAAGCACCTAGTTTCAGCTCTAGCTGAAACCTTCAATACGCCTAGACATAGTATGTGAACCCAACCATTTCTGGGGCCTCATGATTTCTGGGAAGTAATCATTCTGCAAAAGGATTCTTCAGGATAGTTGCCCATGAAACTGGCCAACGGGACGATTTTGATCTGTGTCACTTTCTGATCCCACCTTCACCCCTGGGTCAGGCAGGCCCCAAGGCCTGGGAAAAAGAGAGGGCCCCAGCTGCAGGGTCTAAGGCATGAGCGCTGGCTTAGAAGTCAGGAGTCTTGGATTCGAGAGCTGCTTTGTCTGTGGCTCCGCTCGGCGGACCATTCCCTCCTCTGGGTGTCAGCGTGCTGACCTGTAGAGATGGAGGGGGTTGGACCAGACCGGTGGTGGTGTTCAGACAGCACTCTGAGTGGAATTACCTGGAGAGCTCTGGAAAACACACATGTGCCCTGCCTGCCTCACTCCACCTCGGAAGGTTCTGCCACAGTTGGTCTGGGGGCAAGGCCCAGCATTCGCATTTCCTAAGCTCTTCAGATGATTCTATTACGAAGCCAGGAAACGCTCGATTCCGTTATCTTAGAGCAGTGGTTCTCAACCATGGGTGACTTTGCCTCCCAAGGAACGTTCGGGGGTGTGTAGAGAGGTTTCGGTTGTCACGGCCGGAGGGGGAGGTCAGTACTGCCGGCGTTCAGCGGGCAGAGGCCAGGGGTGCTGCTAGACTTCCTGCAGGGTACAGGGCAGCCCCATAACAGAAAGATTTTTCTGGTCCAAAATGTCAGTAGTACCAAGATCGAGAAACTCTATTTTAGCGTTTTTCCCCCAATTCCAGGTTTTCTATATACATAGTTAGGCTCCACCCGCACCCTCCCTGAAACCTCCGTAGGGCAATCCAAGTGATCTGTTTCAAAACCTAGATCTGATCTCGTGTTCCAGTAGCCAAAAACCCTTGGCTAGCCATCCCTGTTCGAACAAGAACCGAATTCGTAGCCCAACCAGATCCACTCCACGCCTCCAGCCTCCTCTCCCCCACCACCGCCTCGCTCACCCCTCGGGGCACCACTCCCTGTGCTCTAGTCACTTTCAGGTGACCACTAACCATCCTTCCTCCCGCCCCAGGGCTGTGATGCACAGCACTTCTTCTATCTGAATTGAGCTTCCTTTGACCAAAATCAATTCTCAATCCTCCTCTAGAACCCAGCTCAAGCGCTATTTCCTCAGCCATTCTTGGTTCCCGCTCCCTACCATCAAGGCAAAGGTGCCTGCTTCCTCTCTTTGGCCCTCACGGATGTTTATTTCCTTCCAAGTAGTTCAGTTTGTGAATTGGCATTCATTCATATAAACTTGGACTTTTTAATTTAACATACAGTAAAATTGACCTTTATTGGGTCAGTTTAGTTCTATGAACGTTACCATGTCGATAGATTCGCGCAACCACCACCTGATCAGAAACAGAGTGGTTCCGTCCACCCCTCGCAGTCACGCCGCGCCCGTCTCTCCCTCTGTGGGCCACCCATCTGTCCTCTGTGCTGCACGTCTGCCTTCTCCTGAGTGCTGTGTGAGTGGGATCATGCAGTCTGTGGTTTCACACAGCATGATGCCTCTGAGGTGGACCCATGTTGTTGCCTGTGTTAATGGCACACACATTCCTTTTAGTTGAAAAATAATGTTTCACTGTGGGTGTGTACCACCAATGTTTTGTCCATTTATCTTTTGGAGGGCATGGGATTATTTTCAGTTTGGGGCCATTGTGAATAAATAGAGCTGCAGGAAACATTTGTATCCCGATTTTTGTGGGAACATAAATTTTTATTTCTCTAGGGTAAATAACTAGGAATGGGATTGCCAGGTCATATGGTAAGAGTATAGTGAAATTTGTAGACAACTGCCAGGTCATATTCGAGAGTGGATATAATATTTTGCATCTCTAAAAGCAATATCTGAGAGTTTCCAGTTGCTCTGCTTCCTTATCTGCACCTATAATTGTATTTTTTATTTTAGTCATTCTAATAGGTGTGTAGTAGTATCTCATTGTTTTCATTTGCATTTTTCTAATGCATGATGATGTTGGACATCTTTCGAAATGCTCATTTGCCCCCTGTATGTCCTTTGGTGAAGTGTCTGTTCAAGTCTTTTTGTCCATCTTTAAATTGCTTGTCTTCTTACTGTTGAGTTTTAAGAGTTCTTTATATATTCTAGATATAGTTGCTTTGTCAAAATGTGATTTGCACACATTTTTTCCAGTTTGTACCTTATCTTTTCATTCTCCCAACAAAGTATGTTTACAGAGCAAAAGTCTTTAATTTTGACGAAGTCTAATTTATTGGTTTTACATACTCTGCATCAAGCCTTCCGTGTCACGTCGCAAGACTCTTTGCCTAACCCTAGGTCAGCATTGTCTGTTTTCTTCTAAAAGTTTCATAGTTTATATTTTACATGTGTATCTATGACCCATTTGAAGTTAGTGTTCGTGTAAAATGTGAGATTTAGGTTGAGGGAACTGGCTTCATTCTTTTGCTCACGGACGTCCATTCCCATCAGCGTTTGCTGAGATGACCAGCATTTTCCCGTGGACTTGCGTTTGCACCTGGCCCAAACTCGGTTGGCATCTTGGGACAGGTCTCTTTATTTGTCCCATCGATTTGAGTGTCTGCCCCTTTGCCAGTGCCACCATGTCTTGATTATTGTAGCCTTAAGTAAGTCTTAAAGTTAGGTGTTGTAATTCCTCCAGCTTTATTCTTAATTTTCAAAATTGTTGTAACTATTCTAGTTCTGTTGACTTTTCATATAAATTTCAGAACCACCTTGTCTGTCTCTACCAAAAAAAAAAATCATGCTTGTATTGTTATTGGAACTACATTAAGTCTACATCTTGGCATCTTGACAACGTTGAGTCTTCTAGTCCATGAACATGGTGTGCCCGTTAATTTAGGTCTTCTTGTATTTCTTTCATCCGTGCCTTGTAGTTTTTAGCATGCAGATGTTATATATGTTTTGTTAGATTTGTACCTAATACTTCTCTTTTGGGGGGAAACTACTGTAATTTTTTTTAAATTTCAGTTTGCAGTTTCTCATTACCAATTCCTAGAAATATAGTTGACTTTTGTATAGTGCTCTTGTACTCTATAATCTTAGTCACTTTAGTTATAAGAAGGTTTTTGGGTAGATTGCTTGAGTTTTGTTTTTACATGTTTGCTTAGTTTTTTAACATAGACTATCATTATCTGCAAAGCAAGAGTAGTTTAATTTCTTTCTTTTCATATCATGCATTATATGTCTTTTTCTCGTTGCCCTGTTTAAGGCTTCCAACGTGGCATTGAAGGGGCGTGGTGCAAACACACACCCTGACCTTCACCCCATCCTGGGAGAGAGTGTGTAGCCTTTCACCATTGCGTATGACGATCGTTGTGGGGTTTTGTACTCATTTCACTTTCTGACGTCTCCCTTCCCACCGGGACGTGCTCCAGCCATGCTCCAAGAGCAGGCTGTCTCTACTCTCAACTCAACCCTCGGTGCCTGGCACAGTGCCCAGCACACAGTAGGCCATCGATAAGTAATTCTCTACCTTAGGAACATCGCCAGTCTGTGTGACAGACAACACAGAATCTTAGCTGAACGTGCTGCACAGATATCACAAAAAAATATATAACCACGCAATAAATACTCCAGTGGACCCAACCAGGCATGGCCTGGTGGAGGGTGGAGTCGGCCATGTTAGGCTGTCGAGCGTCTGTGGATCGGCTCGCCGGCACGCCGTCCCGTGTCAAAGACTTCGTCCACGAGGGGTAGTTGACTGCAGCAAAACAATCATTTTAGATTGAGAACATTCCTTTGCCAAGGGGAGTTCAAACACAAAGCTCTCCGCTCTGAAACACAGGGGCTTTCAGGGTAGAGAGTCCCACTGCTCTGAAATCTTAGGCCCTCAGACGGGTGGGGTTGCTTCGCTAAATTTATTTCAGCCGCTTATAGCAACAGAAGGGGGAAGAAGGGGGCGGCTGCTCGCACACCAGCCCTGGCTCTGGGGTATTAATATCTGCCAGGTCAGGCTTTTATTTGGGTTTTGTTTTACCTTTTGGGGGTGGGGAGGCAGGCAACAGGAATATCTCGGCTGCATTGCTTGAGCTGTGGTTTCCCACCTTTCTCCCTGTGAGCTCACTCCCCCCACCCCCCCAAGGCCACATCCAGCCCGCTGCTCCCCTGCCTGGCCTCCGATAGCTCTCTGTTGCTCTGCCCAGCCTTGCGGGGAGTGGGGGGGGCTTTCTCTGCAGTCTCATGCAGACACCGCTGACACTAGATGTTCTCCCCTTCCCAGAAGGGGTCTGAGCATGAAGAGAGAGAGAGAAATTGAGATTGAGATTGAATCTGTTTGCTTTCTGGCACAAGCGTGGACTAGGGAGACTGGAGTCTTTGTCCCCGGCCCCCAGCAGAACCCCCTCCCCAGTCCCACACCTCCACCCGCAGCAGCTCCACGACTTGAATCTCGGAGTTGCTGGATATGAAACCCAGGCCTTTTTGTCTCTGTGTTCCTTCTCCTCGGCCTCCCCAAAGCACTGAACGCGCCTTCTCCGTGCCTGATACCTCAACAGTCTCTTCTGTGTCGCCTGCCCCAGGCCCCTAGGTAGCAAAAGGAGTTCAATGAAACCACTGTGTTGTTTTTTAGAAACCTGCTCTTGTGCTGAGTTTGGCATGCTCTGTGGAGCGCAGGTCAATTACTTCCCACGGATGGGGGAAACTGAGGCACAGGAGGGGAGGTGGCAGCAGGCAACTGCCCATGGCCGGGAGGTGAGGTCGGCGTGCGCAGACTGGCTCTAGGAGGTGCTGGGCCTGAAGGAAGGCGGGACTCCCTGGGTGGGACCTGGCTGCTCCGTGCACACCATATGAAGTGCCCACGAGGAATAGGGGACGCACAAGGGAGCTCGAAAACCTGTGCGCTCGAGACCTGAGGGATTCCATGAGAACTCGGGGAAGTGCCTCACACGGTGCCCAGCCCATGGGAACCTAACAAATGCTGGTTTGACTTCTTGGCAAGCTCCTGCTTCCTGGGTCACCAAGAAAGCAGGGTGAGCAGCATCTGTCCTCTCCACTCCCCCTGCCCCCAGGAACACTGCACCGGGACTGCTGGGCGGGGGAGGGCCTGCTACAGGAGCTGGGGAGAGGCCCCGGATGAAGCCTCTCCGGGGGGTTCTCGCTTCAAACTAGGGGGTCTGCTCCAGCGTCATCAGGGGTATAGCACATACTTGTAAAGTGCTCACAAGTAAACCAAGTTCCTATTTGCCCCAACGCCGGCCAGTTTGCTTTGGAGTGATCCCCTAGTCCAGACTGGAGCAGACCCCACCCTGGGGAGCCGTCCCTTTGAGGAGCAGGACCCACCTCCCCAGCCAGAGCAGGGATCAGACAGCTCTTGGAGGGTCGCCACGTGGGCAGCCGGCAGAGGAGAGAGGATGGACGTTTGCCACGGCCCTGTGACTTCTTTAGATCTGAGTTTCTCCCGCCAACTGCACCCTCCACCCCAGGGCGGGGGTGGGGGGAGGGGAGAGGGACTGCAGGCCCCCAAACCAGGGCCTGCCCTTGTCTGACCAAAGGCAACCAGATCTGCTGCAGCTGTTCAGTGAGAGAACAAGCTCTCCCAGAGACCAGGGAAGCAGCTGGAGAAAGATTCCTGCCAGCCCGGGGGTGTAAATATTTATACAACGTGGTGCGTGGGAAGAGGCTAGGCAGAGGGAGGTGGCAGGAACGGGCGGCACTGAGACCACAGGTCTAAGGAGCCTGTGCTTTAGCCTCAGGTGGGAAGGGAGTGGTAGCTGGGATCCTAATCTCCACCCGAATTCCTACATCAAAGAGACCTGGTCCTTACCCCCAGCTCTCCTTGCAGAGTTGAGGGCAGAACTTAGAAAAAAAATGCATCCCCGGTCCCCTAACCGGTCTTCCTGTCCAGGATGACCCTTGAACCAGAGATAAACCAAACCCACAGGGCTCAGGAGTTGGGGCCTGGAGGCTCCTGGGTCTTACGGTTCTAGGGTCTTAATAAATACTGGATTCCAAGAGTTGGACTCTAGGGTGGGAAGCTTAGAAAATATAAGTAAACTATAAGCAGAACAGAAAGTATAAGCAAAGATTTTTCTCAGCCTTCTATATTATCAATAGTATTTTTCTAAAGTGGCAGAGAACATTGTGCATTGATGAAGATGATGAGGAGGAATGGATGGGACCTGGCAAAAGGTGTGGAGGGTGAGGGGGCCCTCGTGGCACTTGCAGAGAAGCATCTGGCCACCGCCGTCACAGCGCCCAGGAAAAGAGGACAGTGCGATGCGCGTCCACCTGGTGCTCTTGGGTCCCAGGATGCGTCGCAGCCCCAGGTGTGCTCCAGCAGAGGACTCGGCCAGCGCCCAGTGGCACTGACACCCCAGGGTGGGAAGCAAGCCTGGGCCTGGGGCAACAGCCAGATGGACTCCAGTCAGTTTGCCTCGGACAGCTGGGGAGCAGAGCCAGGGCACTCCGCACGCCCCTCCCCACCACTCCAGACCAGGAGGGGTGCGGCTGCAACTTCTAGGATTTCTCCGCCACCACGCCCATCGAGAAATGCCACCTGCTTCTAGCAGTACCAGAGCTGACCCTCAGGACCTCTCACAGGTGGGGTTTGTGTTGCCCCCAAGAGCCTTTAAGATACCTCAGCCCGTTCTTGCATTCCCCGTGTCCTGAAAACGCCCGTTGGCCAGGCGTGGGGGGCATTGGACGGAGGGACTTTCTGCTGGAAAATGGCCTGTGTCTCCCCAGCAGACAGCTCCAGATGCTCAGGCCAACTTCAGCCAGACAGCATGGATCAGAGGATCCCAGACTCCCCCAAGAGGCAGGCCCTGTGCAGCAAGGCATCCCAGCCACAGCCCAGAGCTCTACAAGTCATGTGTGCCCAGGGCTGCACCTCCCCTGAGCCCCAGCCTTTCTGGGTGGAACCTGGTGAATCCCCTGCCTGTCCACCCACCCTGAGCCCCAGCCTTTCTGGGTGGAACCTGGTGAATCCCCCACCCATACACCCGGAGAAGGGCCGGTTCTGTGGCTTCCCTGAGCAATGGGGCCCAGGCCCACACAACATGGACGAAACACCATCTGCCCCCAGCCCTCAGCCCTGGCCTGGCAGCCGATGTCCACCCTCACAGGGGGAGCCTCTCTCCAGAAGGAAGCTCCTCTTCAAAGGACACCAGAGCTGGGGGAGACTCTTCAGACACCCAAGTCCTCTTCTGCCTCCGTGGCCCTGCCTGCCGGCTGTGGCCTCCTCCTTGCCAGCACTGCTTAAACAGATGAGCAGCAACAAAGCCTGTGTGGCCCAAGGAAGTCTTCAGGGGAAAGAACTGAAGCTGAAGGAAAAGGGCGGTGGTGGGGGGAGGGCTGTAAGAAATGGGAGAGGAGGGAAAGTCAGGAAACAGACAAAATAAACCATCCGGGAATCCAGATGTAAAACAAGGAAGGCCAAAAGAAAATGTATGCTAAGAAGGCCACGTAGGGTGGGGAGGGGAATTGAGAATGAAAAAGGAGAAGGGGGCAGTTATAAATATTCCAAAGAGAGAAGAATGTGAAAGCAAACAACACCAGAAAAATAAAAAGTGGAGACCCAGGAGAAAAAAAGAGGCAGCAATGACTCTGAAACAACTACTTTGCCCCTCCACCAGCCACGCTCATTTGCATTCCGAGTCTTACTGCTTCTTGTGGATTCCAGCCTCTTCTGAACACTGAGCAAAGACCGTCCTAGAAAAGCGCGCTTTTCACCTTGCTTTTTGCTCTTCCTACAACTCTCCCAGCGTAACTCAACTGTTGCTGTCCTGCAGCATGAGGACTGATGGCCCTGGGGCGAGGCGAAAGCCCTACCGGTTCCTCCCAGTCAGGTGGCTTCCATCAAGGTGCCCTCTGGAGGGCTCCCCGGAGCATCTGAGCGGGAGGAGCCGCGGGGGCGGTCAGGGGAAGCACTAGGTGTGAAGAAGCCATGTTATCGGCTTTGCATATTCCAGGAAGGGGCTTATCCAGCCACCTCTCCGAGGACCAGGGCTAAACCCACCCACAGAAACCGCCATCCCAGAACAGCAGGCAGCCACGGAAGACTGGCAGAGCCAACTCTATGCACAGCCAGAGGTGGCCCAGCAAGTGCCACTTTTGGAAACAACTTGGACGCTTTAAATTAATTTCCAAGCATTGCCAAGGAGACTTAGGATAGCCACAGCTTTCCCACTGTTGCAACTGACAAACGGTTACTTTAAGTTCACTTTGTGTCCACAAACTGAGCGCGGAGAGACTGGTTCAGTTCCCTTTTTCTGCTTGGCCTTGTTGAGCCCTCTGTTGCCTCTGTTCTTCTGTGAGTTAGCCAATGCCTCTCTTCTCAGTTTTTGCTTGGGCTTTTCCATTCCCCGCACTTAATCAAACCCACCTCCGCCCACTCTTCTGTTTCTCCAGGGCAGCAGTGGCTGGGAGAAAGCTGAAGCAAACCAAGGCAAAACTGAAAAGCAAAGGCAGTAAAACTGCAAGTGAGTTTGGTTTAGCACGCAGCTTTGGCGAACTCGGGCCATCTGCAGTGGGTGCGGTGGGCTCGGAACAGACAGGGGTCTGGGCCTCCCCAAGCCGCCTAAACCTGCTCCGCCAGAGCTCAGCCACGGGGAAGCCACTCAGGCTGAACTCCCGTCGACTGGGACAAAGAAAATGGTGCCCGTGCCAGCCTTTCTCCCTCTAAGAATTCTTAAGGGCTTGACCTTGCTTCTATACCTTCTGTAAGTCCCATTTTGCTTCTCTCAAAAACCGAGCGATGTGACAAAATATACAGAAGGGATAATGTCTAGGTCATGGCCTTAGATACTCAACCCAGTTTCTTCCCATCCTTCCTAACCTTCAAACCTGTCCCAGTCCTATAATCTATGACTCAGACGATTATTTAACTGTGAAAAAAGACAAACCAGGAAATTAGAGGCTGAATGACCTAAAATTTATTCCATTCAGCTGAGCTAATCACCTAGCAAGGGTGTGTATAATAATAAGTCATAATATCTCTGTTCTGGAAGATGCAAACACTGCAGGAAGAAAATGCCTGGTGACTGCGCATCCCAACTTGTCAAGATTTGTCCTCAAAAGGGTGAGTGTCTGGTCCTTAGCCAAGTCGCCTAGCAGTTCGCCGGCCGAGCCTCAGCGCTTCGGAACCAACGCGCCGCAGTGGAGAGCCCCCGCAGCTCCGGCTGACGGGCTCCCGTCCTGGCTGTGCCGCGTCCTGGGCCAGCGAGGGGCTCACCTGCCTTCTCCGAGTCTCCTCCACTGTGAAATGGCAGTGACAGTAATACCGGTCTCCCGGGGCTGCTGAAAGGACAGACGAGCAGAGCTCTTGGCACATGTGAGCAGCCCCCCTCCCCAACAGCACCCCTAGTCAACTGTTGCTGTATGTTAAACAGTGAGTTGGCAAGACCGCGAAGGTTGGAGGCCCCACAAAGTGGGGTTCCACGGAGTCCCTGGAACAGAGTCAAGTATCCTGAGCAGGAGAGAGAAGACGGTCCCAGGGGAGGCCAGGCAGCTGGCGGGTGGAGCGCCGCACGCAGAGCCAAGGACAGCCACTCACAGGCGGGACCTCCGCGTGGGTGGGAGGACGCTGGGGGCTGCCCTGCGGTCCTCCCGCATTAGCTCAGCGGGGCTGCAGCCCCACCCTCGCGGGTGTTCACCCGGCCGTGAAACTCGGTGCACGCTGACCCTGCACCCACTACGAGCTCCGCTCTAACCGGCGGAGAGTTGCAGCGCGCTACAAAGGGCTTAGTGGCCCCAGGCGCTTCAGAACCAAGCGCGTCTGCCCCAGTTCAGAAACCTGCCCTTTTAGGAGCTAGGCTGTAAGGACATGACCAGAGGCTGAGACATTTTTATTTCTTAGAATTTTTATTTCTTATTGCCTTAAGAAGAAAAGGCAAGAGTTTCTAAAGCGTTCTGGAAGTGTGAACACCAACTGACTCTTGGTGACATTTAGGTGGTATTGTTCATTTTTACCTGCAACGAGGACAATGTGGTTAAGTGTGACGAGTCCTTTTTTAAGCGCTGCATACTGAAGTACTGAAGATGACGTGCTCTGACACACAGGATTTGTAGTTTGCCGTGTATAACGCGCACCAGTGGTGGTTGTGCGTATTACACAAGGGCTTGTTATACCCATTGGACATGACCATTACACGCATGTATAATACACATCCTTATTTTTCCCTCAAAAAAAATTTGGGCAAAAAAGTGTGCATGATACAGGGATTCTTGTCTTTACTGGCTCTCATAACACAGTATTCACTTCCTGAGGACCAGCGCCCTTGCCCGAGAGAGGCGGCGGTGCGGGGAGGGCCTGCAGGGGCGGGGAGGGCCGCAGAGCGGGCGGGCGGCCGCGCCAGCGCCTCGAGCCCTCCGGCTCCGGGCCTCTCGGGCAGGGAAGAGCCTTCCGAGGGCCTGCTGTCCACTTCGTGTTGCTTTTGAACTGGGTGAAAATGGCTTTTAAATGGATTTCAATGTATTTTAAGCCACAACGAACTGTTGGTTTGTTTTGTTTTGTTTTGTTTTGTTTTTACCCTAGTAGAATGGGCAAGCTACTCAACCTTTCTAAATTCACTTTCCTCAACTGGAAAATGGGGGGCCGTCACCCGGCCCCTGTTTTCTAGGGTGACGGCAGACGAGGCAGATGTGCGCCCGAGTGCCCAGTGCCATGGGCACAGCGCAAGGGCGGGTCCGGTGCGAGGGGTTTGGCGAATGCGGGCCTTCGCCCCGAAGAACAGAACGCAGTGGAGCCAGCCGGTCTTGGGCGCTCGGGCCGAGTCGTCGATGCCGCCCTTAAACGTCCACATTGAAAGTCGAGGCCCACGTACTCTGGGCTCGCTTTGCTGCAGGCGTCTGCCTGGATGTCACCCCCTCCAGGTGTCACAGAGAAATCACTGCTGTCTTCGTCCCTTCGCAGAAGAGCCGCCCCTGCTCTGGGGCAGATCAGGCCACGGGGGATGGAGCGCCCACTGCTTTCTCTCTGGGTGAAGAACGAACTGGAAAACGAGGAACAGGGCTCTGCCCACGCGGTGCTGTTGCTCGGAATGGTGAAATGCATTTCGAGAAAGCAGGCCTTCAGCAGATCAACGCATACCCAAAGACGGAGCCAGCGGGGTTCGGGTACGCGGACCCAGAGCAGGCCCTGTTCTCAGAAGCACCCTTCGCAGGGGCCTTCTGGGGCCTTCCCCGCTGAGCCTGGGGCAAGCGGTCATGAAGGTTTCCAGACAGCAGGGGGCAGCACAACACACCCTCCCCAGTCACAGGGACCTGCCAAAGGGCCAGGCAAGGTGACCTGGCCACAGACACATTTACCCCGAACAAATCTGAGTAGCCACGGCATGCTGAGGGAGGAAGCCCAGGCCAGGCAGGGGTCCCACACGGCCAGTTTTTAAGTCTTTGCCACTTGCCCCCAGGCAACTGGGTAGTGGCTTCCTGTGAGACAAGTGTCAGGCAGAAGCAGGTACTTGGGACTTCAGGTAAGAGATGGGATCTGCCCTGTACCAACCTGCCCCACACCCAGCCTCTCCTTGCCGCCACTGCCCACTGAATCCTGCAAAGTCTCTGGACCCTCTTCCCTAGGAAGAAACAGGAGGGGGGGGCGCCCAGGACAAAGTGCCAATGTTCTCGAGAGGTCCTTGGGCTCGGGACCCTTGACATGCGTTCATGGGGTTATTCTAAACTCCCAAAAAAGCCCTGGCTCCAGAAAACAGAGCCGTCTGAAGACAGGAGTGAAGGTTACAGGCTTTGCAGTCACTATGCCTGGGTTCAAATCCCAGCTCTATTTACCAGCCCTGTATCAATAGGTACCGAGGTACTGAGTCCCCTGTGCCTCAGTTTCCTCCTCCGGGTAATGAGGAGGACAGTGGCTGTACAGGGCAGAGCTGTTGCTTGCGACAGTGGCTGGCAAGTAGAAAATTCTCAATGAATATCAGCAAGGCCTCCTCCTCAACGCAGTGGGGATGTGCGACTCCTGACCCCACAGGTCCCGGGAGAAATAACTGCACTAAAGGAAGTGTAAAGTTCTCATAGAAAGCACTCAGAGACATGCGTAGGAGACTGCTCTCAACACAGACCAAGAGCCCCCCCCCCAATCTGTGTTTCTTTCCATCAAAATGCAGCAGCTCAGGTAACCCCCAGGCTGTGAAGGCTTCCTGGAGCAGAGCCCTCTGAAGTCTGCAGCCGGTCGGGCTTACCCGGCGTTTCCCTGGAGGGGGAGAGGGAAACAGGCACCGGGCACAGCCCTCCTGTGCTCACTTTGGGTTTTGTGCAGGACGAGCAGAGGGCGCCGCTCAGATCTCAGCTGGGTTTCTCACGTGCGTGGCGTGGGCCAGAGGCTCAGAGGCAGGCAGACGGCTGCCCTGTGCCGGACAGGCCTGCCCCAGAGCAGGCGCGGAGCCTGCCAGCCTCGGCAGGGCTGGGTTTCTCGGAGAAGGGGAGGAAAGGGTTAAGCCCACTCTGGACTCTGGAGGAGGGCTCTGCTGCTATAAACAGTGAGCCAGGGGAGGGAGGGAGCTGACACAGGATGTGGCCAGGGCTCGAGCTGTCTGATTATTAACTTCACTTTTATTTGGAGGGGGATTCGATTCTCTGTTTTACTTCCCATCAAGGAAGTGAAAGCCCAGGTCTCGGAGGGGCCTGGTTTCAAATTGTTTTGTCACAGCTCATTTATTTTTCCTCTTAAATAAATAAACAAAACCACCTCTTTGTTTTCCCCTTAATGAGCGCTCAGCAAATCATCTGTGGGTGAGGCATGAAAGGGGTTTTCTGGAGTCCTCCGGAGGGCACTTCTGGCTGACTCGCAAAGGAAAAAAGGATTCCTCCTTCGCCTCAGCCTTCCCTCCCAGACTCTCAAGGCACTTGCTTTTTTTCCTGCCTCCTTGCAAGGTCTCAGCCTAAAATGAAGGCCTCGAGCCCAGTTTGGACCTTCCTTGGCTGGGTCTCGGGGCCTGATGTGCTGACAGCCATCCCGTGTCACAGGCGCCAACCCAAGGCCACAGGGAGGAAGTAACCGAGGCGAGACTCAGTGGTTGGTTAGTCCTCTTGGTCCAGCCAGGGCCCACGGTTTGGGTTCCTATGGCGCCCTGATATTTACACTAAAAATAACCTAAAGCAAGTAAACACAAAAGGATTCCATGACAGGGCTTAGGAAAACACCAGTACCTATTCCTCTGCCCAAGGTTCAAAACGAGAGCGAGAGCAGGGACTTTGCTTCCAGCACCACAACCTATTCAACAATTTCAGGATTCTCTTGCAACAGCCCTTTCCTAAATGACCCACAGGTGTGAGGCCCACAAAGACCAGCATCACAGCGTCCCTACACTCGCCTCACGGTGCCCTCGGGGCAGCATGGAAAACAGGAGTGCCCTCAGACAGAGGCTCACGGTACTGCAAGTGGGCAAAGGGGGAGACAGGCAGATTCTACGGGAAACAAAGGGAGGGAGCCTGAGGAAGCCTTCCTGGAGGAGCTGATATTTGAGCTAGACCTTGAAGGGTTGACAATATTAAGGAGAAAGAATATTCTAGAAGCTGAAAAGTACCCAAGTGACAGAGAGACATTATCAGTGTGTGAACGTGGCCTGGAGGGCTTGTGGCTCCTCAAATAGCATTCTGAATGCACGTTAAAGCCCTCCTGTGGGGAGGGGCTGGAGGTTGAGTCAGCCTGGAGGATTCTGCTCCAGGCTGCCGTCCTTGACCCCTGGCTTGGAGACGCAGGACCTGTGAAGGAGTCGCACTTTGGGTTGTGAGCACCACCCTGGGATAAGCACCCCACTGGCCTGACACTCGGCAGGGGCTGACAAACACCTGAGGACCAGTTGGAGCAACTTCTGCTTCCTCTGACGCTGTGCCCTTTGCACGTGGGGCATGAAGAAAGATGCCTGGGACAAATCCAGTGCACTTACAGAAGCTCGGGCTCCTAATGGCTCATGGAACACGGTTTCCCAACAGCCCCGGGGAAGTTGCCAGGGTCCAAGGTTTTCTTGAAGTGCTTAGAAATTCCTCCTCATTCCCACGGCATTTCAGCCTCCAGACCCTGTGCTCGCCCTAGGCTGGCCGGGGAGAGGGTTAAGTGCTCTCGAAGATGGCTGCCTTGTTTTGCACTTCAGAGGGGGTCACGGGAGGTTGCCCTTTGCCTCCGGGGATGCAGTCAAGGTCCTGCTGCCTTCCCTGGCACTCTGCCCCAGGTGGCCTGACACAGTCTCCTCCCCTGGACGTCCTGCAGTCCCAGGCCTCCAAACCTTCCAGGCCCAGGGTGGGCCAGCCTCCAGCGTGAGGCCATGCTCTGGAGGGATGAAGCAGGGAGGGCCTCTCAGCGACACTAGGGCCAGGGGTACACACCATCTGAACCCTTTTAGCTTCTCAGAACGTCTGGGTCCAGTGGGCCAAAGCCGAGGCTGCTGCTTGGGACCAGATCCCTTTGTATTTCTTGGCTCCTGACGGAGGCACCCCCATGGGCTGGTCTTACAAGCAGGCCTCCTAAGGCTGCTCCACCTGAAGCCTTTGCACAGGCTCCATGGACGTGGTCACACTGCCCTCCAGTGGCCAGCCCACCAAATAGCACATGTGAGCCCTGTTTGGGGGGCGGGGTAATGGCCCAGCGTCCATATACTGGGCTGGCCCCTGATTAGACATGGGCTGCTACATTTGAAAACGTGGCTGTGCTTGCCCCCGGCTGTCCTTTGCCACAGTGGACACTTAGAGAACAGCAGGGGACTTGCTTCCTCCAGGGGTTCTCAAACTTGAGTACGTACCTGAATCCCCTGGAGAGCCGGTTCAAACCCAGATTGCTGGGTTCCACACCCCAAGGTAGAGAACTTACTTTTCTAACAGATTCCCAGGCGCTGCTGCAGCCGCGGGCCACATGGTCCTGAGACCACATTTGCAGAACTACAGGCTTGGCTCTCTCATCCTGTTCCGTAGGTTCGAGTGCTCACTCATTGGCCAACATAACGCACCCTGTGGGCACGCAGGACAAGAAGTGCCCGTGACCACGATCCCACCCCACTAAGTGGGGTTTAAACTAACAGAAGAGACAGACTTGTTTCAACAAATAATCTTTAAAAAAAAGATTCCATTTGAAAGGTGGGGGACATGGTGGGGCCAAGGGGCAGAACACCGAGGTCTATGCATCTGGTACCCAGAGACCTGCCTCTTCAGAAGGCGCCACATTCAGAGAAGGGGAGGAGACACTCTGGACCCTTCGCTGGCAGCCATCTCCTTCAGTGCCCAAGAACGGCGTCCCGCCTTCGGGAACCTCAGCCTGTTGCCCATGGACTTGTCGCTGCCTGAACCAGATCTGCGTGGGCTCCTTCCCAAGGCCTAAAGGAGAGTCAGCTTTGGCAGGTTCGGGTTTGCAAGGTGATGCCGATAAGACGTGGCGTATCATCTCCCCACCCGTGCCCCCACCACTTCCTCTCCTCCTTACCTCGGGGCCAGGACACGGCCATTTTTCTGGGCCGCATTCTTAAGCGCCTCCTGTGTATGGGTGCACTGGAATCACTGTGGTGCCTGGGGAGGCGTGCCACAGGGTGTGAGGCCGGTCCTGCGCTCTCCCTCCGCTCCAGGCACCTTGCAGGGCAGGTAGGAGGGGCATACCGTCCCTGCCCCAGCCTGCTGCAAGCACTGCCGACAGCGCCCCGGGGCAGCCCTTGGGGGGCAGACGGGGCTGGCAGGTGGAAGCCAGGTGCGGGTTCCTCCCACTGTTCAAGAAATTCAAATGTTCCTCCTATCATAAGCCAAAATGGCGCAGAGCACAAAACTATTACCATTCATTTATATGGAAAATATTTTGAGTGCTCCCAGGCCCCCGAACCTACCAAATCATACTGACTAGCACACAAAACCTAAAGTAACACACGGTAAACGCAGGCATACACAAGATACATCGCCGTGAAGCACAGATGCTCACAGGCCTATGGCAACTTGACGCTGGGCATAGTTCCGGGGTCAGGAGCTTGGTGGCGCCACTGCCACCATTCAGGGTGTGTGCAGGCCCTAGGACGCTGGCTGCAAAACAGGCTGAACGCTGCTTTCAGTTTTCACCTGTCCTGACGAAAGCGAAAATCTTCTTGGGATTTCTTTTGGTTGGCGCAAAAAGGAACGTGCTGATGTAGGGCCTCTGTAACAGTGAAGTGGCAGCAGGCAAGCTTTTGAAATATGTGGGATAGTGTATTCTTTTGTGAGGATGCTTGTTGCTTAGTGTCCATGCCAGCTGCAAGGGAGCAGGGTGGGTGAGCCCCTGCTGCTGTCCACTGCGTCTTCGGTCCTCATGCTGTGATGAGGGGGCATCCGCCCACTAGGCCTGCCACCTTACGCAGTCACTTCCTTCCCCAGTTTTCTCACCTGAAAAATGGGGGGTGGGGACGAGTTGTATTAGTTGGTCCCCCAGGGCGGTCTACGCCTAGCTCACGGGCACACAGTTGGAGAGATGCAGGAGCAGAACTCGTCCTGCCTAGTGACCCTACAGAGAGAGGCCTCGAGTTCTTGCCTCCTTGGGGTTTCTTGGGAAGGGAGGGAAAAGCACCAGAAAAATTAGGTGCAGCTTTGACGTTCAACCAATCCAGTTCAAATCCTGGCTCTTCTCCTCACTCACTGTGTGATCTCTGGCAAGTGGCTTCACCTCTCCGAACTTCAACTTCTTCAGCTGAGAAATGGAGATAACATAGCACTTACCTCAGAGGGTTATTCTGAAGATGAATAGTAATAGCTATCACCTATCGACTGTTTGTTCCACGCAAGACACTGAGCTAAGGGTTTCTCATCAATTACACGAGGTCGCGCGAGGAAGCCACGGTCTTACGCCAGCGAAGAGCACAGCTCTGTAATGGGGACCGTGGTGTCATGGGCTCACCACAGCCCGCACCCAGTGCTTGGCGCACATGGGCGCGTTCAGTGGACAGAAGGAGCTTGGCGAGGCCTTGCACAGACGGTGACTTTCATTAGCAGCCCGAGAAGAGGGTTCTTTTGAAGAGGTCCTGCAGCAAAGAGAAATATGGGGGTGAGTGGCCTGAGCTGAGGGCCAGCCCCAAGTCTAGAGCAAGCTGGTGTCTAGTTAGCCAGTGTCCCAGCCGGGATGTCAGCTCTTACTCACTCTTCCCAGAAAGCAGCTAATTAGCCTCCCAGCAGCTAGGAGCTCCCCAGATGAAAGCTGCTTAATACACATGCAAGGCGTGACCCCCATATTTATAACCAAGGTTGCCTGGGGTGAGGAAGGCCCGGGGGCGGAAAGACAGGCCAGATCGGTGCCTCGCCTTCTTTATGACAGAGGTTCTCAGGGAAGCGAGCCTGAGAAAAAGGCTCCGAGGCGGTGGGCGGGCAAGAGGCCACCCAGCCTCTGGGGGTGGGAGGAGCCAGGGGGCTGAGGGGGCTGAGTGCACCACGCCCCAGGCAGCCTCCCAGCCCAGAAGCTCCCAGGCCAGGACACAGCCTACAGTAGGGAGGGTCGGAGTGAGGGCTCTGATGCTGGGCTACCCGGTGGAGACCCCAGACCCAGGGTGGCCATTGCAGGTGCCAGAGCCTCAGCGTCCTTATCTGCAGAGTTGGGATAATGACCGTCCTGACCTCACGGCTATTAGCTGATAGCACTTAGTACAGGCAGTCCTGGGCACCCATTGTGTAAAGAGTGATGGTTTGTGCATTTGTCCATTCAACAGAATAGACAGACACTTACTGAACACCTACTATGTGCCAGGCTCTGGATGCTGGACACACCATTATGAACAAAACAGATCAAGGGTTTCCTCCCGGGGAGCTTGCATTCTGTGGGCAGACAGACAATACATACAAGAACCAGGAGGTCCCCAACACATCCCCCTGCAGTGGTCTACACTGTAACAATTCTTGTTTTGGCTGAAAAATGTTCCATCTTATGTAAGCGCCTCCATTTTTTCACAGACAAGGAAACAGACAGGGCAAATAAGCAACACACGAAGGTCACAGCCAGTTCTGGCAGAGCAGGGATTTGATCCCAGCTGGAGTCCACGCTGCTGCAATGGCCATGCGGCTGCAGGACCCTGCTCTCCAGAGACCCCTATCCAGGCACTGCCTGCAGGGGGTGGGGCCACCACTGGGGGCAGCTGTTGCTCCCCACGCGTGCCCAGACTCTTCCCAGCACGGGCTCACAGGTGTGGGCGAGGTGGCCTGCCAGTCACCCTGCTCCAGGCGAGGCAATCATGGCTCAAGAGGCCACCTCCTCAGGGACAATTCCTGCTCCTGGCCACCCACGAGCCAGGATTCCCAGGGTTCAAACCCTCCTTCTCAACTGGGTCATGAGGTTGGGAAGTCCCTCAGCCCTAGGACCAACCTGGTGGGCAGGCCAGGTCAGGGGCACTGTCCCCAGCCAGCTCCCCTGGGCAGTACTGTCAGGCCCATCCAGAAAGTGGACACTTCAGTGGACAGACGTGTATTCAGCACCCACTCTATGCCACGTTGCCCCGGCTTTAAGGTGCCCCCTTTCCCAGGAAGGTGCCCACCCCCTGACAGAAAACTGGATGCTTGTGAAGAGGTCCCGCAGTGAGGAGAAACGTGGAGAGTGGACCAAGGAACAGGATGCAGGGAATCCCTGACCTCAGTCACGGAGGCTGCACACACGCCACCTTGCCAGCTTCCCGCCTCAGTCCAGGTGGGGGCACAGGACTCTGGGACACCTGCCTGGGGATGCCCCCTCGGCTCCTCCGTGCCCAGGCAGGGTGTGGTCTTCCCTGTCCATTTACATTTGGACCATGTGCCTGCCTAGTGCCCATTCATTCATTCACTTTACTCATTCAGTCCATAACGGTCACACTGCTGGGCAACAAGGATCCAAAAGTTAAAAAAAAAAAAAAAAAGCCCTGTCCTTTGGAAGCAGCCTAAGGAAACCGACAATGACCACCTGGCCAGGACTGCCGCCCCGTGGGCAGCTGAGCTGGAGCGGGGGGGCACACCTGCTTGCATACAGCCCACAGCCGAGCCCACGCCTACCGTGACCCCCCAAAAGCAGGTCTGCTCAGTGGATCAGGCTGAAAACTCGGTCTGAGGGCTTCGGGCTCCACCCACACTCACACCCTACCCGGGTGCAGGAGGCTTTCCCCAGAAAGAAAATGTCCCCAAAAGGTGCCCCTAAGGACTGGCTGGTGGGAAGGGAGGAGCCCCCCAGAGCTCTTCCATCGCTTTGCTCCGGGATGCAACAGTGGGGGTGCTGGGCTGAGCTCCACGGCCAGGGGACTCACCTAGGCCGATACACAGCCACTGCCCACAGCAGTGCCACCCCCGACGGCTGGGCACTTCCTAGGTCCCAGGTGCGTGCTCAGCATGGCACGTGCGTCCCATAAACCACTGAGACTTTTACCAGCAACAAGAGAATCTGCGTTCTGGTCTGATGCACTGATAAGTCCCCCATAGCAGCCCTGCACATCCCTGCCAGCCGAGGCTGGCACACAGCACTCCCCTGAATACTGTGCAGACTCTGTTGGGGGGAGGGGAGAAGGAGGAAACCCCTCAACCCCTAGAGCCCCCCAGTGATGCTCTGGCCCTCACCTCTCTTCCACCCAGCTGACCCTTCCACTCAGCCAGTCTTAGTCCTATAGCACCTGAAGCACCTTCTGCCCCCAGGAAGCCCCCACAGCATCTGGGGTGGGTGCTGACTAATTCCTGGCCATGTACAGTCTTCATGGCCCCACAAGGACAAATGGCCCCTCAAAGGGGTCAGATGCTCTAGGCCTACCCCCACTTCCACTGCTGTCATGGAGACCTTGGCAGGCAAGGGAGAAGCTGGATCTTCCAGGTGTCTTGGTTGACCTTGTGCAACCCCAGAGTACTCTTTGGGCAGAAGGCGAAGGGGTGCATGAGAAGGCCTGTGATTATCTACTTCATTTCAGGGGTGGGTGTGGGGGCCATCTGCCCAGGGAGCACAGCCTGGCCAAGAGGCAGGGTGAGCCCCTGGCTGTCCCAGGGGTAGCCTGGGACAGGTGGGGTGGCCTTGGTTAATGTACTTTACACGCATTAATCGTGAAGCTGATCTTTACACCCACCCTGGGAAAAGGAAGGTGCACAAGTCCCCATTTCACAGATGAGGAGACTGAGGCTCAGAAAATTGAGAAATGCGCCTGTAGTCACATGGCCAGGAACCAGTACAGTCAGAATCCACAAATGGTCCTTCTGGCCCCAGAGACTTTGCCTTTGACCACCTAGAGCTTCCCTGAGGGCTGTGGCCCTGGCACCTGAGATGCCCAGGCATCTGGTGAATGAGGGAGTGAGCGGACAGGAGGGCAGACAAGCGGACCGATGTGGCGGCGAGGGAGTGGGAAAGGGCACAGGTGGACGAGCGGACGAGGAAGGACTCGGCAGGGTGGGGAAAGGGCTCAGCTGGGTGGAGGAGCAGTGCTGCTTGTCCCGAAGCCTCTGAGGGAGAGGAAGGGATGTGGCTTCTGAGAACTCGGCGGCCCACTGGGACGCCCGCTGACCATGAAGAGCCCGCCCCCAGGTGTCTCTCTCTAGACAGCAAGTGTGCAGAGCAAGGGGCCCAACGACCGAGTAACGGGCTGGCCTGGTCGGTCCGCAAAGGGCCACTGAGAGCTCTCTAGCTTAAGAGGACCCTGGGCCAGGCATCGACCTGCGCACCCTGCTGGGAGGAAAAGAGGAGCCAGAGACCCACTGGCCTCGCCTGTGGAAGTGGGGAAGAGGGGGAAGTGGGGACTGGGGTGGGGCGCGGGGGGCCCTCCACGCTGCCCTGGACCAGCAGGTGGTTCCGGCCAGGACGGCACCCTGCGCTATGGCCCCTGGGCCCCAGGGTCAGTGCCTGGGCCTGTTTGCCTAAGGGGGTGGGTGCGAGCTGGCATGGGAGCGGCTCACCGAGAGGTCACTGCTGTGGTCAGCGAGGGTCAAGGGCCTTTCTTCTGGGGTCAGGCCCCACTTGGGCTTTGGACTAGGGGGTGGGGCAGGCTGGACTGGACCCAAGAGTGGAGTAATGTGGCAGAAAGGGGGTCAGGCTGAGGCTGCTGCTCTCCATGGGGGCTGTGTGTCTTAGCATCTCAGATCTGGGAGGAGGCACCTGTGGGTCTGCCAGCCCAGCCCCCGGCGCCTGCCGGGAGCGCCAGAGAAAGTAACAGGACCCAGTCCAGCGCAATTCCATGAATTAAAGGGCACAGAGAGGACGCCAAGCAAGCAAGGGGCAGGCGAGGTTCCCGGTGTCTGGAGAGCAAGTCCCAGGCACTGCTCACCTCTGGGGCCATGCCTGCTCAGGCGCAGCCCCCGCCCCCAGCCCCAGGCCCAAGTTCTTATCCCAGCCCCCAGTGGGGGTGACCCAAGGTCCAGGGAGGTAACAGGGAGCTGCGAAGGGTGGGGGTAGGGTGCACACAAAACTCCTGAATCACTTGGCTCCCTGCCCTGTGCCCTCTGGCCCTCCCCCAGGAAACCTTATTTAAGGGGACAGAGACCAGCACTGCCCTCAGTGTGGCCTTTCGGTGCAGGGTCTCTCACGTTTGTTAGACCCCTACCCACAAACAGAGACTTTCTGGAGAGTACACTCCACCCAAGAAAATGCCACAGAGGTCAGTTTGGACATGGAGCAGGGCCACAGTGGGAGACAGAGTTTGGGGTCAGGGGGAGCCTCAGCACGGGCCCTGAGAAGCAGGCGAGCGCCCTCTGGTGGCTCCTTGTGGCGCAGGCGCACAGCCGCACTCCTGAGCTCACTCGTGAGCGCAGCCCCAACCGCAGCCTCCAGCAGCCTAGGAGAGCATCTTACAACCAACCCACAGTTTACTTAAAAAAATAAAAATAAAGAAACTGGCCCAACTGACGTCAGAAGGACATCATGGGGACTGCACCACATTTGCAGTCCTCTTAGAAATGCGTTCCACAATAATAATAATAATGACGCCAAGGTCAAAAGCTGTTTCAATCCTCACGATGACCCGGTGAAGGAGGCATTGTTACTTCGTTTCCAAACGCAACGGGGGCTTGCACAAGAGCACGCAAACAGTGACTGGCAAAACCAGGGTGTGAACGCAGGTGTGCCGCCACACTCACTCTGTTTTCTGGGCTCTGACTGCTCAGGTCCTAACAAGAAGCCTCATTTCCAGCCAAGGGGAACCTTTTTCTTTCCTGTCTCCTCTCAAGAGACCCCGCCCTACTGGACAAAAGGCAGGGAAATGGCCCTCCCTCCTCATGATGAAAAGGGTGGGTGATACGCCTTT